CACCACCACCAACATCACCACCACCACCACCATCACCACCACCATCAACCACCATCATCATCACCACCACTACCATCACCACCATCAACCACCACTACCATCACCACCATCAACCACCACTACCATCACCACCACCACCACCACCACCACCACCACCACCACCTAATGTTTATTGTACTTAGTATGTGTCAGGCACTGATGTGAGTTATTTGAATTAACTCACTTCACTTTCCCAACAATTCTACCAGGTGGGTATTATATTTGCATTTTATGTATGAGGAAAATGAGTCTCAGAGAAGGTACAAGAAAGATTTCCCAAGTTCATGCTTGGACAAGGACCAAAACCCACCTGGCTTTCAGCAGTTTGTTGCTCAGTGGAATCCCATATACAGTTAGGAAGGGGAAAGTAAGAAGCGTCTGGAGAGGTTGATGAGCAGGACACAGACCAAATTCTCCTTGTTCTCTAAAGCCTGGACCTTTAGATTCTTCCAAAGGGAAGGGATAATTTGGGACTGTACAGGGGTCTAGGGCCAGAAAGGATGGTGGCAGTCGCTAGACAGAAGAGGGGACAAGAGCCACAGAGCTTTGCACCTGCCAAGAAGGGGGTTATGGCGAGCACATTTTCTTACTGGCAGAAAAGGTTGCTCTCGAAGTCTCCAATGTCCAACGGGGAGAATTTCACTTTGAGCTTCTGAATCTTCCCCACAGGCACGATTCCAGAGGAGGGCTCCACAGAGAAGGGCTGTGGGGAACCTTCAGTCCAGTGGTCCATGGTGCTGTCCATGGTGCTGGCTGTGTGCATCGTGTCCTGACTAAGCTGATCTTTTTGAGTGGAACCTGGGGGCAGACAGGGAGTGGGTGATATTTTGCATTTGCAGTGAGAAGCAGGTGGAAGGCAGCCCACTCACAGATCCTTAGGCGTCCTCTGTGGGATTGGTGGGCTCACATTTTGAACCAGGTGTACTTAACCTTGGGCAATAGAGGTAGAGAATTGCACGTATAGCTTACAGAAGACTTATGAAAAAGATTTCTATTTATTCCACAGGGTTTTCAAATTTTTTTCCTTTTGGCTCAAGGGGGTGGGTCAAGAAGATGTTTGTGCCCTAGAATAATGGGCTGTGAACATATCTTTTGGAGAATCATTGTTCTAAAGTAGGGATTTACAGTTTGGGGACCCAGGGACAAGGGTCTGTGACCCATTCAAAGGGTCTGTGCATCTTCAAAGTTGAAATAGTAATACTAATAATACTAATAATGATAACTTGCCTACCAAATGTTGGGCACTTTTCTAGGGTTTCATATGTACCAACTGCAGATTTGGATATGGGTGTGTATCCTCCTGGGAAAATGATTCATAACTTTCATCAGTTTCTCCAAGGGATCTATAATCTCTCCCCAGGTTAAGACCTAAGAGACAAGATTTCTAGTTACCTTGAGATGGGGCATTGGCCTAGTGCAGGGGCGGAGTCTAGATTCCAGGAGGGTGAAAGTTAAGTTTTGGAGTCCCTCAGGCCATTTGGCTCTGCAGACACCACAAGGTCTCTGCTTTGCTTTCCTTTAGCTACTTAGGAGGCCCTGTGAGCAGTGCTGGCCTCTCTATGAGCAAGACTCTTCTGACTGGTGACTCAGGCTGGGCCCTGGGTTTTTCTTGTCATTAAATTTACCTTGGTGATCTGGTTTTGCAAAGCTGACTGCCTTTGAGGTATCTTCTGAGACCCAGTTGAATTCCAGCTGCACATGTCCTGAATTAGTCATGTCAAACCTGCAAATTGATCAGGGAACAGATTTGAGAAATGTGCTGCAGGTGATTTTGGTCCTGGCTGCATGCCATCTATACTGTACTTAACCTTTTAAAGTCATGTCACTTTGTTTCTTAAATATTTTTAAAAGGTACATTTTAGATAATTTTATCAGAAATCATGCATGTGACATACTCGAACAATAAAATATATACATAGTGATTAAAAGTAAAAATATAAAAAATATTTAGCACTTAAAAGCATTTTGCATTCTACCAACAACATTCTGTGCAATGAGCTCTCAGCATGCATCACAGTAATCCTAAAACCCCCCATGAGAGAGCAAACAAGATCTATTTCACATGACAGCACCTCCCTCGGGGACATATTCTACAGGCCCTCCTTTCCTGAATCATCTCCCACCAGACACGATGTCCCTGGCTGTGCGTGGTGGCTTATGCCTACAAGCCCAGCACTTTGGGAGGCCAAGGCAGACTGATCACATGAGGCCAAGAATTTGAGACCAGCCTGGCCAACATGGTGAAATCCCAGCTCTACCGAAAACACAAAAATTAGCCAGGTGTGGCACACGCCTGTAATCCCAGCTACTCAGGAGGCTGATCCATGAGAATTGTTTGAAACTAGGAGACGGAGGTTGCAGTGAGCTGAGATTATGCCACTGGGCCAGCGAGCAAGACTCTTAAAAAAAAAAAAAAAGAAGAAGGAAAGAAAGAAAGAGGAAGAAAAGAAGAAAGAAAAGAAAGAAAGAAAGGAAAGAAAAGAAACAATGTCCCTGTGATCACAGCCATTTGACCCCTGCCTGTGACTCCTCTCCTGACTGAGGGAGAGATGTGAATTTTAGTTACTTCAAACTCAAATTCTGAATCAGCAGAGGCTTTTCCTGCCTCAAATTTTTCTACTTTAAGACAAGAACAGGGCCAGGCATGGTGGCTTACGCCTGTAATCCCAGCCCTTTGGGAGATCAAGGTAGGTGGATCAACTGAGGTCAGGAGTTCTATACCAGCCTGGCCAACACGGCGAAATGTCGTCTCTACTAAAAATACAAAAATTAGTTGGGTGTAGTGGTGGGCACCTGTCGTCCCAGCTACCTGGGAGGTGGAGGCAGGGGAATCGCCTGAACCCAGGAGGTGGAGGTTGCAGTGAGCCGAGATCATGCCACTGCACTCCAGCGTGGGTGACAGAGTGAGACTCCGCCTCAAAAAAAAAAAAAAAGACAAAAACAGGGAGACAGAGTTTTTTTTGTTTTGTTTTGTTTTGTTTTTTTTTTCTCTCCTGGAATCACTATTAAACTTGATCACAGTTAAGAGTAGAAAGATAAAGCTTTGGTACAAGAAAATAAATACACATGCCCTTCCTGGTTTTAGGGGAGTAGTAAGAGTTAGGAGTTTGGGTAAGGGGTAGGTCTAGGGTAGGATGGATTTACAGATTAGATTTCCACCTTCTAGTCCAGGTAGACAGACCATTCAGTTATGCCTGAAATCAAGTGCCTTGACCACAGGGGCTTGTGTTTATTTTGTGAATTTATGAGCACCGGTATTTATTCTAAAGACAATTTTTATAAAGTGGAGAAATTTCAGTGGAACAGAGTACTTTTCATAAAAAGAGTTCTTAGTTTAGGGGTTGGCAAACTTTTGTAAAGGGCCAGATAGTAAGTTTTTTGGCTTTGTGTCCCATATGGTCTCTGCAACAACTCAGCTCTGCCTTTGTAGTGGAAACGCAGCCACAGACAAGTCATAAATGAACGGGCATAGCCACATGCCTGCAAAACTTTATCTATGAAAACAGGCTATAGGCCAGTTTGCTGACCCCTGCTTTAGGTGAAATGGCCATCAGCAGAAGATCACACCTCCTGACATTTATCTTTTGGTTCTTTTGTAATTTCCAAAGACATTAAAATTCAACAAATGCACAATGAGTTGAATGAGCTAATTTTTAATTTGTATACAGTAGAAAAGTCAGTGGCTTACTTTTTTCCTTGTATATGTTGTACATGTTGTTCTCTCTGCCTAGAGAGAGCCCTTCATTCTCACTTCTTTCATTCTCACTTCTTTACTTGGTTACCTCCTATCTGTCCTCTAAAGTTCAGCTGGGAAACCACCTTGTCCAGGAAGCTTTCCTTGACTCTCTTATCTGCCTTAGATACCCCTTTGCTTCATGCATGTGACGCCATGCTGTAACGAACAATTCTGTTTCTACCCATCCCCTTGCTGCCACCCTCAGATGATGAGCTCTTTGAAGGCAGGGCCCATGGCATCCCTGAGTACCTGCATATGAGTGTGGCTGAAGGGTTAATGTAACATTTTCTCCTTCTCAAAGATGAATTTGACTCTGAATTACCTTTCTAACTCTGTTCCCTTGGAAACTAGATAAAGGAGGAAAGTCAGTTGTATTATTAGGTGATATTGTTTATACTACACATGGCCCCTGATGAGTAAATAATATATGCACCAGGAGGAACTATGAGCACCTAGAGGGAAGCCATAGCTGTGGGGTTCTCTGAGTGTAGCGACTCTTGTAACTGGGCATATTCTCTGCAGGGACCCCAGAAGATATATCTGCAGAGTGGTTAGGAAAAATGGTGGTCTTTTGGGCCTGGGATTCTAAGCTTAGATGGACCCCATCCCCACTAGCGTGGATATTGTCTGGGTTGTCATTTGGTGCATGGGCAACAAGAACAGATCCTGGGTGGCTGTGTAGGCCACTGTAAGGACTGTTCCCACTAAAGTGGATTGCCTGATGCCACCCTCCTGGTAGACTGTGTTTCCTGGCCTATATCTTGATTTCAAGTGTGAACTTCAATAGCTCTGTGGGGCTGAATGTTTCATTGGAACTAAGACAACACTCTGGTGGAACCTACACAGATACGATGCCTAGCAGATGCTGTTGTAGATAACAGATGTTTAAGGAGTGAGGAAGTGAGTGAATGATGGAATGAAAGAGCTTTTCCATCTAGTGTCATGAGGCTTTTGATGACTCACTCAAACACTCGGGTCTGGTAAACCAAGGTTTCCTTAAAGCACACATCTCTTGTTTGGCAGTGGTAGGAAGCAAAATCCACATTGGCGCTGATTTGAACCTGTAGTTCTGGGTAGTTTTCTTCTACTACTGAGTGAGCGGGCTCAGGATCCGTCTCTATCACCTGCAAAAAAGGCAACTGTGTCCTCAGAGATGCAGAGCACGGGGACAGAAAAACTGACAGTGGAATGGACTAGAGAGACCAGAAACATTCTAGGCAAATATGAAATGTAGGTACACTATATGATAATAAAGTTCTGACAGATCACTAGGGAACAGAGAGGCCCAATGAAAAAGGGATCTAGCAAGATTAGGCATCTAGATGGAACTGGGTTCTTGCTTCACAACATACATAAAATCCAGGTGGGCCAAGAGCTGAAATATCAAAAAACAAAACTCTTAAAAAATACATACATACGTGAATGTCTTTCTGGGAGGAAAGAATTTTAAAAATAAGACACAAGTAATAAATATAAAAGAAGGTATCAATAAACTTGAAGATATTAATATTAGTAATAGAAAAGATAAACTAGGCCAGGCATGGTGGCTCACGCTTGTAATCCCAGCACTTTGGGAGCCCAGGGTGAATGGATCACTTGAGGTCACGAGTTTGAGACCAGCTTGGCCAACATGGTGAAACCTTGTCTCTAGTAAAAATACAAAAATTAGCCAGGTGTGGTAGTGCATGCTTGTAATCCCAGCTACTCAGGAGGCTGAAGCATGAGAATCTCTTGAACCTGGGAGGCAGAGGTTGCAATGAGCCAAGATTGTGCCACTGCACTCCAGCCTGGGCAACAGAGCAAGACGCTGTATCAAAAAAAAAAAAAAAAAAAAAAAAAAAAAAAAAATATAGAAAAAGGAAAAAAAAGTGTATAAAAAAAAAGAGAAAAACGCTGTATCAAAAAAAAAAAAAAAAAAGAAAAACTATAAATTTGGTAAGGATAGTTGCAGACAAATAATACGAACAGAAGAGTTTATAAAAAATAAAATAATTGACACAAAGTACAAGTACCATAATTGAAAAATGGGCAAAAGGCATGAAAAGACATTCTTATAAGGGATAATTTGTATGACCAGTAATCTTATGAGGAAATACTCAGCTTTATTTGTGATCAGGGATCAGGAAAATGCAAAATAGGCTCATAATGAGACCATTTCCCATTCATTCAAATGATATAAATCAAGAAGTCTGACAATGCCAAGTGTTGGAGAGGATGTGGATCAATAAGATCTTGTGGACACTTTACAAAAGAAGACATACATGAGGCCAACAAACATATGAAAAAATGCTCATCATCACTGGTCATTAGAGAAATGCAAATCAAAACTACATTGAGATACCATCTCATGCCAGTTAGAATGGCAATCATTAAAAAATCTGGAGACAACAGATACTGGAGAGGATGTGGAGAAAT